TACTATCTGTACTGATCTGGGGGATGCTGGGAGACTTCAGCCCAATTATATATCTTCTCTATCCCAAGGTGGGTGACCATTTCTGTGACAAGCAGATTAGTATAGTGGTTAAAAATCTGGGCTTTCAAGTCAGACAGACATGGGGTTTAATCTTGTTTTGGTAAGTTTTTAAGTTGTATGACCTTAGGATATGTAACCTCTGTTTTTCTTGTGGGTGGAATAAGGATAACAACAAAACCAACTTCATAGGATTGTGGTAATAACTAAATGTGACAATTGACATAAGCTGCTTAGCTCAGCATCCAGCATATAGAGTCAGCAGTGAGGATTACTGTTAGTGAGCTCTCCCTCAAGGGTGGGCTGAGGGAGTTCCCAATTGCCTGATGTGAGCAAAGCCTTTGTATTAGCTATCTATGTCTGGGTAACAAATTACTGCAAAACTTATCATTGTCTCACACAGTTTCTGAGGATCAGGAATCTAGAAGCAGCTTAGTTGGGTAGATCTGGCTCAGGGTGTTCCAGAGGTTTCAGTCAAGCCATCAGCTGGAGCTAGAGTCATCTGAAGGCTTGATCGGATCTGGAGGATCAGCTTCCAATCACACTCAGAAGGCTGTTGGCAGAAGGTGTTAGTTAGTTCCTTACCACGTGTGCCTTTCAGTAGGACTGCTCAAAACATGCCAGCTGACTCTTCCCAGAGATAAAGCAACTGTGACCAAGATGGAAGCCACAAGGTCTTTTATAACCTAATTTAAAAAGTGACATACCTTAGCTTCTGCCATATTCTATTGGTTTCACACACCAAACCTGTACAGTATGGGAGGGGACTGCACAAGTGTGTGAATACCAGGAAGCAGAGATCCCTGGGGGTTATCTCAGAGGCTGGATACCACTGCCTTTAAATGGTTTTCCTAAGCAATGCCACAGATGCTCTTTTTTTTTTTTTTTTGGCTTTAATTTTAGAGTTGGGAGGCTTTGAAATGATTATAGTGTTTTATAATCTACCAGCAAATGAAAGGCATCCAAGCCTCAAGATAAATGTCTGAGTGGGGTCTGCTAGCCACTTGAAAAGCATGTGGCTCCACATACCAAAGAAATCCACAGCTGACTTTAGTAAAATCTTGACTGTTAAATATTCCAGCTCTGTACTTTCACAAAGTGCAAAGGACAGAAGTTGTCTCTCTATATTAACAAGTAAGAATGGTTAGCGGATAAGGCATGGTTTACAAATCTGTATTTATGATTGGGGTCTGGCTGAAAAACAGCAAGAATAAACCATACAACCTGGGAAGTCTAATTCCAGCAGGAAGTTGCTTTGAAATAACATCATACTTCATTCACTCCCCAACTGGTGTCTTTGACGACCAGTTTGGACACATCAATAAAACGTCCTGTCACTTACCATATTTTATTTTCTTGCAGCATTTCCCACTGTTGGATGGTAACTCTAACAGTGCCTGTTCTTACAGCAGAATCCACACTCTGATTTAGATTTGCCAAGTAGATTGCTTTTAGCTAAATTTCTTGTCCAAGCACAGGTCCTTATGGTTCGAGAGTTCCCATTAAAAGATCCCTAAAGAAAAATATACAGCTTTACTGGCTTGGATTTGTAGCTCCAAAATTTAAAAGAAAGCGGCTGGTTAACATTATAGACATTTTGAAGTACTTGTCTTTCAGAAATGCAAAAAACAATAGCAAGAAAAGCCTTTGATGGCTCAGAATTTATTTTATTTTATGTACTTATTAATTGGTACACTTTCTCCCCCATTTTAACCAAAGATCCTGTACATTGAAACAATAAAATAAGTAAAGACATGTGTCTGCTTTAAAATCTCAAAATTGGTTAAGTCTCATAGTCCTCTTCCATGCTTTCTGGGTAGAGGCTCTTTCTGTTCGCTCAGCCCTGCAGCACTTTGATCTCAGAAGCAGTGCCATTTGGTTGTAAATGTATGTGGCGCCTTTGATCTAGTACTTAGCTGGTCTTATTTAAAATAGATAGCTTCTTTTATCTAAGTAGTGTTTACTAGGTCTCTCTCTATGAAAGATGGTTTAAATTGCTATTATTTAGATAGAAAGTTATATAAAGTTTCTTAAGAGTGCCCAGATCTGAATCTAATTCTCTAAATTCTAAAACCCCAATGGCATTATTATAGATTACATACAGCAAATTCCTGTTAAAATGAGCTGCTTTTACAGATGTCAGGTAATATTTGCAAAAACTTTGTTTGCTTTTTAACAGGGAACTGATTTTCCAAAGAATAATAAACATATCCTACACTCAGGCAAAAATAGTACTCTCAGAGTGTCTGAACTTAATGGCCAATTTTCCCTCTGAAATTCACATATTAGTATATTTTTATGTTACTGGGTTATGAATACTATAAAGTGTATATTGAAATGGGACTTTTTAAAGTAATAAGTATATATCTTGAATTCTCTTCTTTAAGAGGATTTCTTGAATATTTTGTCAGGCACACTAGTGACCTGTGTTTGAATTTCCTAGGCTGCATTCAATTATTCATTCAACAAACTATGTTGCAGGTGCAAAGATGCAGAGATGATTAAGTCACAGACTCTGCCCTTAAGTTGCTCACAGTCTGGGGTCAATGGGCAGAGGACTAGTAGACAATTACACAATAGTGTGGTGTGTGCCTCTTATGGATGCTGGCCCTTCCAGCCTGCAGTTGGGACTGGTCAGGGAAGGCTTCCTGGAAGAGGTGGTACCCAAGCTTCAGTTAGACTGCTGACTCAGAACTCAATGTCCTGTAAATTCCCAGCCAAGTCCATAATGCAAAGACAATCTATCTGCCTAACTCCTCTGATCCCCCCAACCCTGGTTTAATGCAGGTGGCCTAAACCTTGAGAAAGGTCTTGAAGAGCGCTGCTGCCTAAAGCTACCCCAAAGCCCTCTAGCTTGTCATTCAACACTAAGGAGAAAAAGCCCAAACCACCTTTCACATACATATTTAGAAATTTAGCTCCATTCTTCATTTAAAGGAAATATTGGAAATCTCCTTGTGTTGTTTAAGTTAAAATAGCTGCCTTTAATTGTTCTGTTAGGCTCCTGACACATGTTTTTTCCTTCCTCCTTGGTGTCGTGTTCCTACCATTTCAGAAGTCTTGTCATTACTTTGTCCACGTACTAACCATACATGAGCATTCCAAGAACTGACCTTGGGAGTAAGCACTCTGGAGGATGCTCAAGAAGTATATAAGGGGCACTTCCCAGGCCTGGAGGTTGGGGGAAGGGCAAGAAGAGGTAATCCATAGTCAAGTACAGGATCGTTGTACTAATAGTCACAACTGTTCTAGGGAGGTCACAGGGGGCATATCAGAGGGGGCCAGGGCCTGACCTCAGGGGACTCATACTGGGTCTGTGGAGATGGAGAAGAGAGGCGGCCTCTGGAGGACATGAGCGCATGAGTTTGGAGTGTTCTTGGATCAGTGCAGGGATGGTCAGCATGGGGCAGGTGAGGTAGAGGCAGGAATGTGCTAAAAGCAAACTGGAAGGGTTTGGCTTTTTCTCAATGGTGCTATGAAGCCCTTGAGGCACAAAACTGCAAAATGAAGTGGGGTCTTTGGTACTTTTCCTCTTCTTTGACGTCAGTAACCAAGCACTACTGATTCTGAGAATCTTGCATTCCAGGTAGTGGGCACCTTGGAGACCAGAGAGCCTAGCCTTCCCATTTGCCCATTGAGGAAATAAGATCCAAAGAAAGAACAAGCAGCCCAGGTCTCACAGTCACTGAATGGCAGAGGCAAGGGTGTCTGGCCATCCTGTTGACCAGGACGCAGGCCTGGGCTTCTCTTCCTGGGGCTTGTTTCCCACTAGGAGTCCTGGAGTAAGATCTAGGACATTAGACAGTTCCTAGGAGCCTGTAGGAGAGAGCCATCACACCGTGGGGTCCTTCAACATGTGTGATCTCCAGGGGCAGTGCAGTTCTCATAGGGCTTCATCCTCTATCTGGACCCAGGGTCCACACCAAACCAGAACTTGAATAAGAAGAGTTGGTAAGAAAAGAGACAGAGAGGACAGAAAAGAATCGGGTTAAATTGAGCAGACCCATGTGAGCCACAGGAAGGCCAGGCTAAGAGGATGGAGAGCAGTATTAAATTGGGGATAAATGAATTTTTTGTGTGTGAGTTACTAATCATAGGCTGCCTATGGCCCCTAACTTCAGGAAAGCCAAACTTCCTGTCCCACCCAAACTGCGTGGATTGAGAGCAAGGTAGATAAAGGTGGTCCTCAAGAAAATCAGGGGACTATTATTGGAAGGAGGGTGAGGAATAAATGCTGGAAAAGCAAAAACAGTAGATTTTGACAGCAGCCCCTTTGTCCTAACCTGAAGGTTAAAAAGTATAAGCCTGAGATGTTCTCATAGAGTGTGGCTGTGTGCTGGGTATTCTCACTGCTTTCTCTATATTAACTAATTGAGCCTATCTTCAACCCTGTAACACAGGGACTATTATTATTCCCATTTACAGAGGAGGAAATTGAGGCACAGAAAGACTAATTTGTCCACAATCTTTCAGCTAGTAAGTCCCAGAGTTGGGATCTGAACCCAAGGAGACTGACTCCAGAACCTGTGTTTTTAATTATTGTGTTAAAAGTGACTCCCATTTTCCTTCCTTACTTACTTTTTTTCTCTCTGAAATAAGGATTTGAGGAAGGCCCTGATAATGAATGTAATCACCTAGCACAGAATAGTAGCCATTATTTTTTTTGTTATTATTTATTAACAGAGTATGAAAGCATCTGGTACCTAGTAGACATTCAACGACTGTGAAATAAGACAAAAACATTTGAAGACTAACCAAGACATTTGCTGGGCTCTAGGGCTGAAAGAAAATCTGCATGATCTTCAGGGGATTAGCCATGGGTATGGAGGAATAGCTGCAGACAGTATATGTATAAATAGAAATGTCCAGAGACCCACTGAGATGGGGCGAAATGGTGAGATGCTGAATTCTTTAATGACTCCTTTTCTCCTTCCCTTCTTAAGTGCTGCTTAAGTAGAGCTGAGGCCAGACGTGATGCAGCTAAAGTGGCCCTAATCAACTCCCTCTTCAATGAGCTGCCCTCTCGCAGGATCACCAAGGAATTCATTATGGAGAGTGTGCAGGAAGCAGTTGCCTCCACTAGTGTGAGTACCCACCAGGGAAGGGAAAAGCTGACTATACTGAGAGTACGGAGCCATTTGAATCTTGGGAGATGCTAATGTGAACAAGTTCTTTAAGAATTGTGCAGGTACTGCTGGTGGGAATGTGAATTGGTACAGCCACTATGGAGAACAGTATGGAGGTTACTTAAAAAACTACAAATAAAACTACCATATGACCCAGCAATCCCACTACTGGGCATATACCCTGAGAAAACCATAATTCAAAAAGAGTCACGTACCAAAATGTTCATTGCAGCTCTATTTACAATAGCCCGGAGATGGAAACAACCTAAGTGTCCATCGACAGATGAATGGATAAAGAAGATGTGGCACATATATACAATGGAATATTACTCAGCCATAAAAAGAAACGAAACTGAGCTATTTGTAATGAGGTGGATGAACCTAGAGTCTGTCATACAGAGTGAAGTAAGTCAGAAAGAGAAAGACAAATACCGTATGCTAACACATATATATGGAATTTAAGGGAAAAAAAATGTCATGAAGAACCTAGGGGTAAAACAGGAATAAAGACACAGACCTACTAGAGAATGGACTTGAGGATATGGGGAGGGGGAAGTGTAAGCTGTGACAAAGTGAGAGAGTGGCATGGACATATATACACTACCAAACGTAAAATAGATAGCTAGTGAGAAGCAGCCGCAGCAGGTTTTGGGCTTCCCTGGTGGCACAGTGGTTAAGAATCCACCTGCCAATGCAGGGGACACGGGCTCAATCCCTGGCCCGGGAAGATCCCACATGCCGCAGAGCAACTAAGCCCGTGCGCCACAACTACTGAGCCCACGTGCCACAACTACTGAAGCCCCCGTGCCTAGAGCCCGTGCTCTGCAACAAGAGAAGCCACCACAATGAGAAGCCTGCACACTGCAACGAAGAGTAGCCCGCCGCTCGCCGCAACTAGAGAAAGCCCATGTGCAGCAACGAAGACCCAATGCAGCCAAAAATAAATTAATTAAAAAAAAAAAGAATTGTGCAGGTTTTATTTTTAACCCATTAAATCATTAATTTTCAGCAGAAAGAACACTTGGACTGGAAATCATGATATTGGAGCTGCCTCCCTATTCCATGTCTCAGTAATATTCTTTAGCCTCCCTGGATTAATCACAATTAATCAAGCTTTAAATCAAGGTGGATCAAATTATCCACCTTGATTTGTTTATTTGAATGTTTGCTGTTTGAGGAGCATAGATTCTTTTAGGGCCTGAGAATGCATGCCATTGAATACTGCTTTAACCTAGAGATAAAGAAATTCAATTTTTCCCAAACTTGACGAATCATACATATTATCTGAAGTGCTTATTAAAAGTGCCAATTCCCCAGCCAATGTGAGGTCCTTCAATCTATGTTTTGAAGGAAACAGACTGCTTCGATATGGGAAAAGCCATATGCCCAATATTTGTTAGCTGTTAGAATTATCATGCTTAATATCAACTACTTTTTTCAGAGAGCTTTGGAAATCTCTGTAATGGATGTAATTAAATACAAAGTGCTTTGAGAGCCAAAAACTCTGTCTTAGAAATTTAGATAGGACATTTTCTCGGCAGTCTAGGAGTACAGTAGATGATTTGCCCCATCAATTTTTGGTGCTTTTGATCCTCGTACCTCCAAATTATAAACCATTTTAACCATGGAGGAAACCTTGGGTCTCAACTGGGGCAGGTGTCGCCCTGTCTGTCCTTCAAGTGCAGAAACTTGGCATTACCAAAGGGATTAGCCACCTCCTAGCTTTGCCTTTAGCATGGATCAACGCCATCTGAGATTTTCATTCTCTGATTCCCTTAATCTGACTATAAAGGTTCTGTCATTCTGGAGAAGCTACTGATAATGAAGGTGACATTATCACACTAGCTGTGACCTTTTTGCTGCTTTTCCCCCTCATAAATGCTCTTATCATGCAGAAGAGAGATAAGGGGAGAGGCGGAGGCGGGGACTGAGAGTGGTTGTCCTGGCAGAGAGACCTCAGGGAGCTCTGGTCTATATCTGCTCTAAGGATGAAAGGAAGCCTTTATTTTCCTGCCCTGTAAATTTCAAGTGCCTTTGAGGAAGAGAAGTTAGGAAAATGATGCCTGATTTATATGTGTGGAATTTACTCAGGAGCAGGGAGGTACCCTCAGTGTAAATGTAATTTATCATTTTTTCATGGAAATTTCTAAGGAAGGAGAATATATATGGTTTGCAGGCTTCTGGATGGATTTCCTCTGGGATATTTAAAAAGCCAACATAAATATTTCAGCAGTAGTGTGTTAATGTTATTGCATTCAAAAGCTATAAATTTGCTGCTATCTGATGCTGGCAGTTGTTTGTTCAGTCTCACAAAGCCATTGCCCACCTTCCCAGGAATCCAAGGCCATGGGATATTGAAGCGCAGGTCCCAATGCCATTCCTGAGTTCATGTCAGCCTTTTTAATGCCACTCCCCCTAACCAAATTGAAGGGGAATTTCATTTCTTCCCATCACCCACCCACCTTGTTTCCTAAAGATTAAGTGGTCCAAAAGTGAAAAATTATAAACCAAAATCCATGTCTCCAGGCCGAACACCAGCATATTATGAAAGGCTCCCATTAAGAATCATGGTGGTGGGCTTCCCTGGTGGCGCAGTGGTTGGGAGTCCGCCTGCTGATGCAGGGGACACGGGTTTGGAAGATCCCACATGCCGCGGAGCGGCTGGGCCCATGGACCATAGCCGCTGGGCCTGTGAGTCCGGAGCCGGTGCTCCACAAGGGGAGGGGCTGTGGCAGTGAGAGGCCCGCGTACCACAAAAAAAAAAAAAAAAAGAATCATGGTGGTAAAATATGAATGGTCCATACAACTGGAGATTTTTTCCCTGTTAGTTACATAATTTGCTTGGTGATCATTGGAATCTTACAGAGCAAGTCAGCATTTCAAGATTTCGATAATGGATGAAAGCAGCCTTGGAGAGCAACTGCTCAAACATTAATGCCACCACAAACAAAAACTCTGTGGAGAGATACAGGAATTTCTGCTTTGGGATAATTATTCTTTTTGAGTATATAATAAGTTAACATTCTAATCAAAAGCTAGATTCAAGTTGATTACAAAATCCTCTTAACTATGAGTGACGGTGAGAGTAAGGATTTTATCCCAAATCAACTGGAGACGGTTGTAGTGTTGTAGGATGCACCCCTGAAGGGTTAGGACAATAGAAGGCTCAATGTGAGGCCACAGAATTAACTCATGACCACCCAAAGAAGAGGAGGAAAAACCCATGATATTTTCCTTTTCTGCTTACTTCCCAAGGGCACTTTGGATGACGCGGACGACCCCAGCACCAGCATTGGAGCCTACCACTACATGCTGGAGTCAAACATGGGGAAGACCATGCTGGAATTTCAGGTACCTGCTTCCTTCCACATATTTGTTTTGCTACACAACCCCCAGAAGCCTGGGGGAATGCCACTCATCATTAACAGCCCCTGTCCCAATAATCAACTCTTTTTTTGTTTTGGTCATTTTAATTTAACCCTGCTAGAATCCAGCACTGTGCTCCCTTTTAGCCGCACCTCAGGAGGCTAAAACAAAAAAACAAACAGGCACAATCTTTGCTTTCTTTTTTTTTTTTTTTTTTTTTTTTTTTTTCTTGCGTTATGCGGGCCTCTCACTGTTGTGGCCTCTCCCATTTGCGGAGCACAGGCTCCGGACGCGCAGGCTCAATGGCCATGGCTCACGGGCCCAGCCGCTCCGCGGCATGTGGGATCTTCCCGAAACGGGGCACGAACCCGCGTCTCCTGCATCGGCAGGCGGACTCTCAAGCACTGCGCCACCAGGGAAGCTCAATCTTTGCTTTCTTAAAGGAAAGTAAAAGACTTAAGCTAAGAAACAGGCGGGGAACATTACAGTCTTATGACCCTATTAACATTTTACCAGCTTTTCAGTATAAAGCTCCCCCTTAAACCAAATCAAACAGTTTGAAGTGTTGGTTGTGACCATTTGGTTCTTAATTTTCAGAAGTCATGGATGAAGGTGCCTGCAGTGTATATTAAACAATTTTCCCCTCAGTTATGGTATTTCTGTTAAACAAGATCTGCCATCTCCTATTGTTAACTAAATCAAAACATTTAGCAACCTGTAACCCTTTTCATTCCACTGCTGACAAGCAATAATAGAGCTGAGGAACTATATTACCTGTTATTTGCAAATTAAATAATTATATTAATAGCAATAAGAATAATAATATCTAACGCTCATTGTATGCTTACTTTGGCACCGTGCTAAGCATTTAACAAATCTTACCATAATTTAACCCTCACAATAAACATGTGAGTATTTCTTATCCCCATGTCTTCATTGAAGGAAGTGTGTCATACAGCTTAGCAAATGGCACAGCCAGGGTTCAGACCCAGGCAGTCTGATTTCTGAATTCACACTCCTATTATCCTATATTGGGCTGGGCAGACAAAACTTCAGAAGTTATTGAGAATGAAAAGAGCACTCTCTAAAAAATTAAACATGAATACAGTTGACCATCCATATACATCAATGCCAGAAGGAATCAATATGCAATGTTATAATGAGGAGACTTTACCCGCCAAGATTTCTATTTTTTTAGGTTAGATTCCAAGAAGCAGTCAGAATATAAAGTTTTATGGACACAAATGTTCATCATGGTATAATTTACAGTGGTGTTACAGCTGAGCCCTGAAGCCACCACCTTCCAAATACCATCTTTGGTACCTTTCAAACTCTTTTCCTGACTATAATGGCACAGCCACCTCTCAGGTGGATATGTCCCACCTGCCCATTTTTAAAAACCAGTAATTTTCCTCATCACTCTCTCATTTGATTGACACAAAATACTATTTCTTCACCCTGCCCTAGGAAGATCTCAGTCATCCAGGTCTCTCCTTAAGCGGTTGTGGTCTCCCTGACCTTTGATGTTGCTTGTCTTGGTTTGGAAGAGACCTTGAAGCTCACCTTCTGGTGTAGACAGGGGCATGCAGCAGCTCAGTGGTTCTGAGCCCACGCTTGGGAGTGGGCTCAGCTGCGCATCTCTAAATCTGTTTCCTTGTTTGTACGTAAATCAGGAAGAATAATAGTAGCAATAATAGTAGCGGTGCTACCTCACTGTGCTATTGTGAAGACTAAGTGGGACCACATAGAAAGTCCAGAACAGTTCCTGGCATATGGTGCTATATGGTTAATGCTCAGTGAAAGCTGACAACTGTTATTATATATATTTCTGAAGAAGGACTGCTTCATTTGAAATGCCAGAGGCTCCCACATGGATTCCCTTGACAACTTTATTTAACCTAAAGGCTTTACATGAGGACAAGGTAGCTCCCCTGCATTAAATGTTTCAGGGCCCTTGCTATAGAATAAAAGAGTGGAACTGTCAAGGTTTTTTTTTTTTTTAATCTTCCATAACAATCTAAAGTCAAACAGAGAAAAAAAATAAAAGGAAAGAGCATGACACAAGAGAAGGGACACAAACTGTTAAAAACCATACAGACCTACATGTAAAGCCTGTGCTACCACTTGCCACCTGTGAGCTCAACCATTCAGAGACTCAGTTTTCCCATCTACAAAATAAGCATCACGATGCCCATTGTGTAGGCTTTTTGTGGGGCGTATATAATATGACATTTATAAAACATTTAGCATGGTGATTCTCCAAGGAAGAATCTCATTTATGTTAATTCCTCCCCCCTCAACCCTGACAGAAGAATATTGTACTTCTTTTATTATACAATGAATGTTGCCTGGCCCAGTACATAATAGCTTGTATAGGATTTAGTAGCTATTTTCAGAAAAATCAAGAGTGATTTTTTAACACAGTGGGTTAGTTTGCCAAATATAGGGAAGGCAAGATTTTTTTTAAAAAAAATTCTTAAAATTCTGTCCAAGTACTATGAAAGGCTGTACTCAACCATCTTTTAGTAATACTTTAATTGCCTTGCTACGGGCTGCATGTTTTCTGTGTGGTCTGTGTAGTAAGGTATTTAAATACATGAAATAATAATTTGAATCATACTGTGGAAATGCTTCCTAAATTCTCAAAATGGAGGCTGGGTGCTGGATGAGGGACAAAGGAAGAGGAAGATGTGAGGGCAGGAAAAATCCAAACTCCCTCCTCCCAGTAGGGATTCTGGCAACCCAGGAGGAGGGCCAGGAAGCACATCCCTCTTCCTTCCGCCAGCTCCAGGTCGCCTGCTGGGTTCCTACACATTCCTTGGTGGCCTGGGTTAAATGCATCAGCTTGTTTCTGCACATAATGGGAATTGACCACAGACCTGGGCTGTTTGCAGTCAACACAGCAATTCAGTACCCCTGGTGGGGAATAGATGTGTGTTTGTATCTAGCTATGGATGACTATACCATATAAAAACAAGACTGGTGTCTCCTGACTGCCTGCAGGCTTTCAGGGGGGCCATCAAGGAGGCAGCGCTCAGAGGAAACATGATATATGCTTCTGCTTACCTTCACTTCGTGGGAGGGAGGCTGGGATGCCTGTTTAAGGTAGCCTTGCCCCTCACCATAGAGAAAACTGCCTGATGTTTGCGGGGTGGGATGGCCACTGGGTCTTGTCAAGGTCAGATTCAAGGCAGACTTTGACTGAAGCTGGTTAATATATTTATTCTGAAGCCTAATGCAGTCCAAAGACGAGTTGTTTATTTACATCTTTGCTAAATTCTCCAGGTCGCCTTTTAAAACTTCATCCCATAAACAAATTTCCTCTTAAATCTATTCTCTTGGGTGGGGAGATTGTGCCCACCTGTTTTTCAAGTTCTCCATTTACACTGTTTGTTTTTCTTATTTCTGATGAATCACAGAACCAAGCCAGTCTCCCAGACAGAGTTCCAGAGAGAAGCAGTGTACATTTTCTCCCCCTGGAGTAGCTGGGAGGCCAAACATTGTTTCTCATAGGAGGCAACACTAGGAAGCACTGTGAGGACAGAGCCCAGTTGTTGTTGGTTTAAATTTAATGAATGACAAAATGAACCAGAAAAGCTGTAGAATGAAAGCTACAACTGCAATTTCCTTGAAGAGAAAGAAAACGCAGGGCTTGATTCACCATTCGATTTTAAATTTACTTTGCTGAAGGGGACTGGCTATATAATTTATGGGGCCAGGGCAGAATGAAAGTTCAGGGCCTTTTATTCAAAAATTACTAAGAATTTCAAGACTACGGAGCACTAAACCAAGCTCAGAGCCTCTGTGCCTGCACAGATCACAAGCTCGTGAAGCCAGCCTTGTCCCTGAGACAAATCCCCAGAAGGGCCCAGACTAGGGTAAGAAGAGTTAGGCATTGAACTCAGGTACAAAATTTAAAGGAGCATCAAAAAATTCAGTAATCAAGGCAAATAATATTATAATGCAGTATTTTAAAAACTCAAAATAAATGTGCAAAACTTCATAACAAACAAAACATCCAAATTTTAAATAAAGACAGAATTTTAAATAAAAGACCCTGAACTTGTACGACGTACCTTAAATCTTGCTTGACTCACCTCACCCTAGTCCCAGCCCTACCTCTAGGCCAGCTTCTTGCTTATCTGTCAGCCCACCCAGTTGACCCAGGCTTCTAGATCAGCCCACGTAACAAACACAGTACAAAGACTTCAGTGAGGAAGGAGCAGGACAGGTAGATCACCAAACAGACTTCCTTCAAAGTGATAGGGCTTCGACAGGTAGAAAATGAGGCTGTGAAGACCAGACAGTGAAAAGTCATGGTGAAACGATGAAACGAATCCTCACAGAAGTCCCTGGCTACCCTCTCCTTGCCGCTGTGCCATAATGCAAGGATTTCCAATGGAATCAATGTGAGGCACACAAGGATTTCCCGGGGTTGAGCCCAGGATTCATACAGCTTCAGGAAGATCTGAAGATAGTGAACTTGGTCATATGAGGGGAAATAAAGAGGTGGGACAGGAAGAATGTGGAAATATTACAATGTACTTTATATGATGATGGTGAGAGTCATATCCCCAGAGAGGAGAGCAAGAACTAGATCAGGACATAAGGTAAGAAGGCAGACGGAAGGTTATCTTTCCTGGGGGATTTTAGGAACACGAGCAGCAATGAAGAAGAGGCAGTTGTATTACTGCAGAGGGAAAAACTGCTTGGTGATAGAATAGATATTTGGGGAATAAGGAGGAGGAGGATTCTCTTCTTGCAGGCAGAAACAGTTCAGGTCTCTGTGGGGAAGTTTTTGAGAGATGTAGGTTGCCAAGGCACATGGGAAAGATTTCTGGTTCTGTTCACAGAATTGTGGGTTCGGAAGTCTTAGGAGAACTGCTGAGTGGCATGAAAGAAATTTATCTGGATGGGGGGCTTAGTACACAGATAAGAATAAGAGCTGAGAGGACGTTGGAAGAAAAATATATTACTAAGGCAACAATCGTCAGAGGATGGAATTAAGAGCTCTGTTGGCAATAGGTTGTTTCTCAAACTGGGCCACAAGGATGCAAGGACAATGCCAAGCGGGCTATTGGAAGCCACAGAATAAACTCAGTATATCTTTCTGGGTTGTCAGCTTTACATGAAGATTGCAGGGTGGGGAAAGGAGTGGAGTCGTGTTTATTTTCTTCTTTTAAAAAAATGCGCAAACAATAGAATACAAAATTTAAGTGGAATCTTAAGATAAAACATAGGACAAAATGTCTTATTTGTAAATATTGTCCCTCCTATAACACGGTAGAGACTATTCCATATCAGAACCAAAAGAGCATTCCTATTCATTTTTATGGCTGCAAAGCATTCACTGAGTAGGCTTGAGGGTACGGTAAGAAGGGCAGCACAAATTTATCTTCCTCAGTTACTGGGGTTACTTTTTTTTTTTTTTTTTTTTTTTTTTGCGGTACGTGGGCCTCTCACTGTTGTGGCCTCTCCCGTTGCAGAGCACAGGCTCCGGACG